CTCCTGTCTGCACTACCTGTTTGACTTCCTCTACAGTGTGTCTCAGAGGTATGAAAGGGGGTAGATGGGGACATTAAACCGTAACAGGAAGAAGGTTTGGACGATATTATAGGGAATACTTCAGTCTGTTTATGTATTGCACTGAAATAACTAACTGATAGAAGGGGGAAGCGGGTTGTGGTTTTACGCCACAGTGATCAAACTCATCAGAGTCTTTATCTATTTTAGATCATTTATTTATTGAAGGAATTTATTCAGTATTGCAAGTCTGAGTGGCAAAAGTGACTGGAATTTGCAATTTTCTCCAAGAGCATGCAATCTGTCTAACTGATTAGGGGAGTCTGGCCTCATACAGGGTGGTTTTGTCACTTTCCCCAGCCTGATGAGCATCAGAGACTCTTTTCTGAAGTTCTCAGAGAGAATAAAACGAGGAGTCCACTCACACCCGATATCATCTCATTGATTGAAAACACCAGTCGCTTACGTCACCTTTAAATTAACTGCTACTCCAACAGGTTCACATGCTTTTGACACTCAGCTGTGTAGCATAGGATCATTTTCCTCAGTAAAAAAATAACCAAATGTTATATTTTGTCTACCTTTAAGATTAGGTTCACAAACTTTCAAGAACCACTGTATGTACTGTGTGCAGATTACAATTGTGGTTCATTAATTTATTAAGTTTTCCTCATTACTGTATTCATATTTAGAAACTTGGATAGATCAAGGTACAAAAAAAAATAGAGAAAAATTCCTATAATCATCTTGAGAGTGCTTAGTTTTATCTTGAAACCTCCTAAGCAAATTCCTGCCCCCAAGAGCAACTGCACGTTTAAAAGGCTCAAACTATGGGCTCTTTCCTTTTTTACTTTACTGTTTTACTTAAAATTACTGGACGGTCTTCTACAGACAGACTAAAGAATTGATATGTTTTCCTCGTCATATATGTGCTGCTACCAGATGTGCTGAGAACCTGATGACCAGCTCCAACCTCGCTACAATCTTTGCTCCATGTCTTTTGCCGCCTCCAAACAAGACGGAGATGTCTGAAGGACGACTGGAACTCAGAGTTCTTGTCCTCCGCACCTTCATTGAAAATCCTCATCTATTTGGTAACAGATCAGTTATTTAGTATTGGCACTGGTTTCAAGAAATATCATTCGTATACGGCCTTAATAGCTGCATTGTTCTGATCTTCACTAGGAGTGATTCCTAAAGCTGCAATGGACAGTATGGAATACTTGATGAATTTCCATTTTCTGAAAGATCTACAGTCAGTGAGAGGAAGTAGAAAGAGACACAGTTTCAAAGGTGAGAGAACTACAACATTATTTGGCAAATCACAACAAGTCTGTTTTTCACCTGCATTTTCTCAAACACATACAGTGATCCGGTCTGTGAGGACGATGCCTTGGATTCAGGGGAGGTCAAAGCTCAGGCCTCCAGTCTCGGAGCAGAGCCAGAGCTCCACGTCAGCAGACAGACCGACACTGAGGAGAAGCCACGGCATGGAGACTTTTCTCAACGTCCACCTGTTTAGGGCCAGCATGCAATTGTCAGGTAAATGCAGCATGAAGACAAAAAAAAAATACCAGGTTGTAATGAATGAGAATATAACAATAGTAAATTTGGTTCTAGATCAGAGCTTCAGACCTGCAGCAGCGTTGTTGAATGACAGCAAACCTGCAAACAAAGATTCATGCAAGACACCACAAGGAAGACTAAAAAGGTAATTTTTGACAGTTAATTTCATGAGATGAATTTCTTGCTATGAAATTTCCTGATGATTAGAGAATAAAGGGGAGAGCTTAGGGCTTTATGAGATATTGTCAGTTCTTAGCCACTACTATTCCCTGTGGTTTGACAGCAGCATTTGGGTTATTGAGGGACACCGTCAAATAGTCAGGAAATGTGGACAATTATGTACATCCTGAGAAATATCACCTAAATGTTAGATGATTTAGCATCGTATCACCCAGCAGTTACCGCATTACTTCTAACCCATGTTGAACAGCAGGTTATTTGCTCTGATGTACAATTAAAAACTAACGGTTTAGATTTAGTGGATCATAAATACATCCTCCACAACAGGAACGCAATGCAACAAAGGTTAATGTTTCATAGAAATGTCATCTCCCAACACTTACTTTTCACATGCAGCTCCAGATCATTGCGCCCTCTCTGTACTTCAGTTTCAGGATGATGCTTTCACTGTAGTTCAACAATTTTCCTGAGGTTCTACCAAAGGGATCAAGTAAAGTTTATTCTATCTGTCTTGTAGTTCACTTTAAATATGCTGAACAGAATCTGCACTAAACAAGTTTATCCTGGTCCCATCTGACCAAAGAATGTGTTCTCAATATTCATCAAGCTTCATTTCATGCATTTTAACAGGTTTCATCTTGTGATTCTTGCAATTCTTTTCCATGTGGAACCCAAATAAAAACAAGCAAATAGATACAGTATTTAGGTCCAAAACTGAGAAGGTTCTGGTGATCCCAGCTCATTTTACAATCATGTTTATGTAATTAGGCTAAATGAAAATTACAAGTGTATTAAATTTATTTCTGGCAATCGCATATTTTTCACTTTGTGTGTCAGTGATCCCAGGTGCTGTTGTACACTGTAGGCACTTACTGGCTTCACTTTAACAACACAACATCTGATGTTTGATTATTCATATTATCTCCCTCTTTGTGTTCAGAGATCTGCATCTGCCGAGGTTCACCAGAGGTCACAGTGCAGACAGCTCTCCGGTGCTCACTGCTGTGGGGAAGCTGCAGCTCAAACTCTTGAAAAGACGCTCTTCACTATAATATATGGAATATGTCTGTTTCTCCATGTTTGTGTAGCGTTTTAGGCTATGATCTCAGGTTAACCAGATTACATTTAGAAGTTGGCCTAGAGTGGCTGTTTGTATCTATATTTTAAAATATAGTTTATAGTCTGTTTTAATACCTATATGTATTTGATTATTTATGTCACAAGAGACATTTTGTATGTGTGAAGCTTTTGTCATTCTTCTATTAAGTGAATAAACATGAATTATTTTTAAAAATGTATGTTCTGCCTCCACATAATTTACAAATAATAGAGGTTCTACAAGGTAAGAGGATTTCTATCTCGTATGAAAATCGAAGGAATTAAAAAGTAATTTAATATACTGAGCCCAATTAGGGCCTATGATGGATAAAGGTAAAAACAAACAAACCACAAAAAAAAAACTGCAGGAAAGACCTACAATGAAGCAGCACATCAATAATAAAGTGTACAACAAGAGTTGTTTAAAAAGGGGGGGAAGCTAACAGCAAAACTCTGGCAGCATGGGTATCAAAAACACCAGTTAAGGGAAAAGAGAAAAAAAAGTTGAATAATGTATTGTTCAACAACTATAGAAGAAAAATGGTGAAAATGGCACCCCAGCTCCCAGAAAAAAATGTCAAAAATAATAAATGAAAGAACTGTAAAAGAGCAGTTTGTCATACAGTAAATCTAGTCAAATAATCTGCAGCATGTTACATCACCAGCACAGAGACTCTGGCTTTGGACTTTCCTGCCTTTCATTATAATAAACTCTGAGTATTGCAGAGTCCCCATAAAATAAAACAAAAATAAAACCATAAATATATACAACATGAAAAATATAAAAACAGAAACAAAAATAATGAAAAAGAACCAATCTGATAACTTGTGCTCTGATTTGTCACGACAGCTGCTGTGGGGTAACTGGCAGTATGGAGCAGCTAATGAGAAGAGAGGATTTCTGGTTTCCTAGCAACTGCATCTGAACCGTGAAGCCAGGCGGATCTCATCCTCCTGCAGGGTTTCATAACAGCCAGCAGTGATGGCAACTGTTTCCCTTCAAAATAAAAGAGGAGGATCGAATATAAAGAACAACAAAAAACTGCACAGACTAAAATTGACTTAAAGGTCCCAAATGGTGCAAATCCTTTTTTTTTTTTAATTGTGTTTTGTGGTTTACACTTAAATGTGTAAAGTAAACGTTATTGGGATATAAAAACATTTACCTCCAGCCCCTGAATTACTAGATATCCTCTATGCTTTACAAGCCAGCAAGAGTTTGATCTGAGTACCACATAGCAATAGATATGTAACTCAAACTCAATATGATCCTGCTCCCTGACTGTGTGCTGTCATTCAGAATCAGCCGCTGCCTCACAGTCCATCCAGCCACCCATTATCTATACACTGCTTGATCCTCACTGGGGTCGTGGGAGG